CATGGGAACGCTTGGGACGGGCTGGGGGAGGCTGGCAGGCTGGCCTTGCGGGCGCATATCGATAGTATGCCGCTTATTGCTGGCTGGCTGGCTGCAGGCTGGCGCATTTGCCTCCGTCGGCTGGTCAACCCTAGAGAACGCTTAGATTGTTGGGTAAGACTGGTTGCATTCGTGGGATTCTGTGCGATGGAAACATGGCATTTGAAAACAATACCACTACCCTTGGCTACGATGTGGATTTGCAAATATTGCGATGGTAGACATATCTGACATGAGATGCGCATATGTCAGACGTACCATTGACGTCACACCTGGGCACACTCGAGTCGTCCTCCACCCTCTATGCTGATTTATCCCGCAATCGTGGCGCTAAGCAGCTGCATGTACTCGACAGCTAACCTTCAGTAGTCATTCCTATTGCAGCTTCTCGTGCGGTCAGTGACACGGTGAGGCTTTCCGCGAGTGACGAAAGTAGGTTTGATCATCTGACCCCGCACAGCGCCTGCCTTTCCCAGACACACATATGTACATCCAACACCGCGGCCAGCGTATGACAGGGAGCCGAGCCGAAGGGGTCTGTGTTGGTGAGGTTGTTCGGCCTCGGCGATCACGATCTCACGATGGATGGACCCTCCATGCTGATCCATGGGACAGTGGCGCGCCAACCGACAATTTAGTCCCCGCAGGGTCCTTCTCTACTTCCCTTCGGTGTCCTTTGGACTGGTACTCCGAGACAGAACCAACAAAGTCCGCCGGACAGTAGCTAGCTGCGTCATGGGTATGCCAGGCGTGGGATGCTCATGTACCTGGACCTAGGTAAAGGTTGCTTCGGTATGAAATATCCGGAACAATCGGCATCCGGTGGAGAAGACTCGGGCTACTCGGCCGCGGTATCTTTGGAGGATCGCAAAAGTGCAAGCTTCACATAGGCGTTGCATGATATGAGCGGAGATCTCTTCGGCGCACTGCTCCGGCATCGCGTCTTGGACACACATCTGATCACAATGCCTAAGAAGCCAACTCAAGTTAGTATGGGACACTGGCGTCAGAGGTACATTACATACGAGATATGTACCTATGGACTTGGCGACATCCCATGCTGATAGCATTTGGTGGCTGTGTGTAGTCTTGTCCGTCCCCCGCTATACGCCAGGATGTAGGCCGTGGAGAATGTGGTACAAGCCCCAGTCTTCACTGACAAGTCCAACTCTTGTCGAACCTTATCGAGACCTACTTGCCCTCCCCAGCACGTTTGACGCCTCCTGCTACATCGTTTGCACCTTTTTCAATGCTCGTGGATACATCGGCAAGGCCTCGTGCAACCGGCCGACCGGCACTGCCTGTGGCGCCCTCGACCTAAGCAAAGGCGCTCAGAGTCAGTATATTTTCATTTGTAGTTAGTACAGATCAATCTACCGTTTCGCCCAAGCCTCGTCCAACCGCGCCAACAACCCCTCCTAGAGTGTTTGTAACGCCGCCAACCGTATTGCCTACAGTGGACGTGACAAACTTGACGCCAGAAGTTACACCGCTTTCTTGCTGGCCGATAGGCATGTTGACGATTGGTCTTGGAGGTTGGTGGGTTGTTTGTTTGTTTCAGGGTGGTCGCGATGCTAGTTCCCGAAGATAGTAAAGTTTGTTAGATGCCGGCTAAGTGGTAGTGAGCTTTGGTGATATCCTGTAGCGTCTGTGCTGCGATGGTGCATTTATGATGCACGGATTTAGTGACGTCATGGGGCTTCGCAACAGCAGACGCGCGGTGCACGTTGGAAATCCTGCATCGTGCAACCGCAAACCTCGTCCTCGTGATCCCAGGCATGATCGCGACTCGGCCCGTGTCAGATGGCGTTTGCGTCGTCCAGTTGTCGCCCTCTCCGCATTATCTCGCGCAAGTACCAGCTGCGGACGCGGCAGCCACAGGCGTTGTCCGGGGAAGTTTCACGAACTCCTCATTGGCATAGTTCCCTCCTCGGCATCTGCATCAGAGATGACTGGCGTTGCATACACGATCGCCATCGACTGGCGCGACCATGGATCTCCTTGTTGTCGTGACAGCAGCTGGCAATCCCATCTTGACGCATGACACCAGGAAAATTTTCCAAAGTTCAGCTTCTTGCGATGGCATTCCGCGCGAGCAGGACCGATGCACAGCACCTCGAGAAGGTTTTCAGAGAAGCTGCGACGAGCTCGGTGGCCGAGTGCTCCTAGATCCAGATGCGCAGGACGCCTCGGCAGGCCGCAAGCCACGGAACGCGAGCGCAGAGGCTTGTTCGAATATCATTGGCAGCACACCGTTGTGGCCTGAACCTAAGGCAGCCATATCGTAGAGATACACAAGGCTGTCGCATTACTTGCGGCCGACACTCGCAACCGGCATCATGTTCTCTCCGACTGTAGGGCCTCATCGGGGCATACGGACGAGAAGCATGCGCGCATGCTCTCAGGCAACCCCTCTCGCTGCGAACATATGATGAACTGATTTCCCCCCAAGAGGTTCGATACTTACCTGTAGCTCGTCAAAGCTCGCCTACACTTCGATACACCCAGAAACAACGCCAATACACGATCGAACCACCTACGAATCGCGCGCCAAACGTTCGAGATGACGTCCTTGTTCCCACATCCTCCTTACGCCGAAGACCAGCCGTATGCGCGCAGTATCCTATACCTGCATGTCATGCGCGCTTCAGCCATGTCATTTTCCTTCTTTTCAATCCTCCAGTTTCCAGCCTCTATCATCGCAGCACGATACCGTAATTCCCCGATCGATTACGCTACAATCCTATCTCGTACGCTCAAGACTGCCGGTCGCGGCCTCGTTCTAGGAACAGCAGCTGGCGCGATCATGACATGGGGCCGCATGAGAGGCCGAGAGGAAATAGAGTGGAAAGATAGGTCATGGCGGATACTGGAGAATCATGGCGAAGTGAAAACAGATTGGGTCACACTTGGCGCGGCTGGGACCGGTGCTGCTGGGGCTCTGATCGCTGCACGGAGCGGCCGGGTGCCGATAACTGTTGGGAGTGCCATGCTGGGAGGAGCTGGTGTTGGTATGGGCACTGGAGTGCTGTACATGATCGCGTCATTCGCATCGGGGAGGAAGCCTGCTTGACGACGGGAGATGCGAAACTGGACCATGCCTCTGGTATAGAGTTGACCCACGACGAGCTCTTGGTAACGCCGAAGGCTATATGCTTGCATGCTACCGTCCAGTCTGGGTCGCGCTCAACATTTCCTGGTACTGGTATTCGGGCCATTTGAAGCTGCCACGCGGACCCTAGACCTTCGCGCTGCTCCGACACATAGCCACGATTGTAATATATCTGCTTATCAAGGCAATGGTTCTGGACGGTTGAGTCACCACAAGCTCACTTGTACGTCTTTCTAGCAGTGCAAAATTCTTAGAAGTTACGCTTGCCCTTTCTCGCTGCGCAGCGTATAGTGGAGTCTCTAATTCGTGCTGAACAGATCGATTTTATGCATCTCCGGGGAAAAGAGAAAACCGATGAACTGCGTCAAAAGGAAATCCCACATCTCGGAATGCGTGTATGCGACATCGTGCGTTTCGGCGGCCAACGTTGGGCTAACCTTAAAAGAATTTTGAAGCTCCAACCTTCTACGTTGCTACGCAATCTTCGAGCTCCGCTCCACACTCTTATCTTTTTATATTTTTGCTTGTTTGCGTATCTGCGAGATTGACTGTTCACACATGACGGTGATGTGGTTTCACGCGTCATTGGCACCTTCTCTTTACGCGCAGGCGAACGACCTCGGTCTGACCTACTACCAGATGCAAACCTCAGGCCGTTGCACTTCTGGATGCGATACAGTGCGCCCATCAAGCTATTCCGCCCGCCGATGACCTCATCCGAGCAGGCTTCTTGTAGGTAGCCCAATATACGAGCGCACAGATCGCCGGCAGTTTCCCGTCTGATCTTGTTCGTCCGACTTCCGCTGTCGCAATGCTATTAAATGAAGGATACAGTATGACGATCCCAAGTGAGCACAGGGCGGAACGTCAGTGTGACCCTCTGAAACGGTCTTGGGCCGAGTGACCTCCGCCGTCGCATCGAGGGCGCGTTACCCAAAGCCATTGTTCTCGAAACATCCCCGGAACGTGATACCTGTTGAACACGCTTGAGCTCCTACAATCTCCACGCATTCACGCAGACTGCTCCACCACGCAGCCTTTACCTCCGAGATGATATTGTCAGAATTGCGCCGTCGCCGTATTCGATTCTTTCGCTTGCAGACATCCCCACAGTCGTGCTGTCCGCTGCTTCGCATTCACTATATCTAACGCTCTCCATTGGGTCTTGCCCTTTAAGCGGCGGCCCCAGATTCGCTGCGACAGGGATCGGTTACTAGACACGCTGTGATCGGTCCAGGTTCCAGGATGAATACGTTACACCAAGTCCTCCGTACTAGCGCTGGCGGATGCCCACTTGCGAAAGAACAATTGGCGCCTGCACACAACACCCGCTTCTCATGTCTCTGACAGCCACGAACCGGACCGCGCAACAGGCCCCGTTGGACGTGTTCGGCTGCACAGTCTCCGAGATGTTGGAAGCCAGCCATCTCTCATGTAGTGCGCTGTTCGTGTAAGAGAATTAATTGAGAGGCGGCAAGTGCGATATCCAGACCGTCGCACCATGGAGTACGACCGGCTTCTATAGCGATGACAAGCCTTTTGAGTGGCATGTGTAAAGTGCAGCCAGCAAGCACATCCACGTGAGGGCGACCGACGGGAGACTAGACCGTTTGGCAAATAGAAGGGCCTCTGCTTAACTTGTTTCTGTAAGTGTTAATATGCAGTAAGTAGCAAATTGCGGGGGACGTCTTGGGAGACACCCGGCTGTGCCTGCCTTGGGCGCGCGTAAGGGGACAAGGGTTTCGCAGCCCTTGACCTTGTTCCGGGTTTATATGAGGAAGCCCACCCACCAGCAGGGCGAGATGTGGTTTTCGCGATTTCTTCAGGTTTCTGAGAGTAGGTCGTCGAGATGCCTACCTATCCTCTTCAACTCACCTGCCTGGGGGTGATCTACGGCACTCCCCTCTTGGCTTCGATATTCGTTATTCTGCGGATATACACACGGCGGAAGCTGAACTTACGGTTAAGCTGGGGTATGGCGTTCAACATCACTTGCGCAAACCGTACTGACGTACTTGTACAGATGACTGGCTTATCATACTTCCGTTACTGCTTTCCATAGCCCTCATAGGGCCTTCTCACCGACGTACGTACTGATGTAAGCGCCGACACTGGCTCTTACTGACCCTGAACAGATGTCAAGATGTGGCATGTTGGCGTGCATATCTGGGAGGTGCCGCCGAACGAGATAGAACCAAACTATGACGAGTACTATGCCGTATGTTTAGTCCCACCATGCTACAGCGAGAGAACTAATAGCAGCAGGTTGTCATGGCGTTCAACCTCTTGAACATCCCCATACTACCGCTCGTCAAAGCATCGATCATCCTTCTCCTCCTTCGGGCCGGTTCCGTTATTGAATGGCTCAAGCGAGTGCTCTATGCCATCTTGGTCTTCACTGTTGGAAGCGCATTGATACCATGGTTCTTGTACATCTTCATCTGTCCACCTCTAACTGGAAACACTTGGAAGCCGAGGACTTTCGGCAACCTGCATTGCATGGGCAGACACAAAATGGGAGAAATGTTGATCTGGGTCACATGCGCCAATCTACTCACCGATGTTCTGATCCTCCCGATACCTTTCATCATCGTGCGAAGGATGATGAGTGCTCGGTTGAGGTCCCGTTTGGTGGTATTGGTGGTGTTTACATGCAGTCTCGCGTAAGTCACACTGACCTAGTATGCGAGGATAATAGCTGACCTCTCCACAGTGTTACTGCCATCGGCGCGGCAAAGATCTACTTATCGTATCGCGACCGCCTCTACACTCTGTTCAACCCCGATTGGACCTACCCGATCGACTACTGCATCAACCACATTGAGAACAACGTAGCAATCATCGTAGCCAACATACCGATCCTACGCGGCCTCGTCACACGATGGATCTTCAACTTCCGCACCAAAGCGACGCCCATTGATCGCGAGTTTCGTGGTGATTGGCAACAGCAACAGCAACAACAACAACAACCGAGAAAGTCGGACGCTTCAGACTTCAGCCGCTACACAAGAAAGAACCGCGTGGTACAGAAGATCCTCCCCTGCATCCAGGATGATTTTTCCAGCAGCCTGGCCTCGCGCTCCAAAGGCGACCTCAGCAGTAAGGTGGACTGCCGGCCAGATTTCCCACCTCGAATCTGCACCACAGGCGAACAGCGTTACCAGAAACGAAGTTACTTTCCTCGATCGCGAAGGAATAGCTTGGATCGGTATAGCACGGCCGACTCCTGCGAGAAGGGTGACATATTAGAGACGGTTAGGAGTGTGGGTAGTTTGGGTTCTGCGCCAACGCTCGTGGAGAGTAAAGATGCGTATACGGAGTGGAAAAGCATGGACAGCCCAACGCTGAGCCCCACAGCGAGGTTCTCCACGCAGACGTTATGCCCCATTGCGCCGTTGACGCCGGCGAGGTTGCGGGGGATTGAAGATGATGAGGTTGACGATGAGATATACCCATACCCGAGAGCATTATGATACCATAGCGAATGAACAATATACGATGAATCTTGATATCTGCAACGTCTCGCTGTGCTCACGTTCAAAACTTAGCTACACATTCTCATCAACAATTCCGCAAAACTGCAAGACACCACAAACCCGACCCGCCCAAACAACGACCCGAAAAACCCTCACCCTCCTCGACCCAACCCCAGACCCCTTCATGTCGGCAGTCACACATCTGGTACGTACCTACCTTTACGCACACCCAAGTCCCGTACGCCCTATCCGAGTGGCGGGTTTCCGTTGTCTCAATTTCAGTAAAGTTACGTTAGCCTGCCACCAGCATCCAACCACACCACGGCGGCGCTCAGGCCCGTTTGTCCGCAGGGGTGCGCATGGCGAGCGATGGATCTGGGGTATAACCGTCCAACCCGTCATGGTGTGGTACTTGCCTTGTCAAGACGCAATCCGAGCCGTTCCTTTGCCGCAGGGGTGGTCGAGTTGCTGATCATGCTGTCTGTGCGTCAGCGTGTCTCGTGTCGTGTCGTGTGTTGCGACGTGGGCGAGGGGTGGAAGGTGATCGCGGGTGGCGGGGTTGACTGGGATGGATGGATGGCTTGAGTGCGTTGCGATGGATTGCAATCGGTTTTCGCGCTTCTTGTCTACGTGATGAATGTATTCGTGGAATGTGCTGCACCGTGAGATTCTTGATCCCAGGCCTATACAACAAGGTCGTCTCCTTCACATACCCAGATACCCTACAGCCAAGGCAATCCAGACTCCAACGACCCCAGACCCAATTCCCGCATCCCAATCTCCGTTACACAGGATTCGCGGGTCCAATCTAGAGTTTTAGTCCCACCATCCCCTCGCCTTCGCAACGGCGGGAAGCGCATTCGGTTTCTCGTTGCTTATTCCTCATTACCCAGATCGCGCGGAAACCTTACTTGAAGCAGCAACTGTCGTCCGACTGGCAAAGCTATTACGCACCTCCACCCCCATCGAGGCACGGAATCCACAACTGGGGCATCGCCGAGGCCTTGGGCGGAGAAAGAAGAAAAACAAGAGTTGAGTGCCTGGGCGAAATCTCTCAGCAAGCGCGTACTCTCATTTCACGCGTTGTGTTGTGCGATGATGCACGCGACGGAAAGGATCTTGCTGCGCGTAAGCGAGGGGTAGGAAGGCACGAAAGGTAGGTGTTTGTATCCTCCAGTCAACGTCTTCCTCGCACCTCCCTCACGCGCACCCTATACTTCACCCTCGCACCACACACAAACCTCCTCGTCTACACCTACCATCCAGACCAGCCATCCCCTTGCCCTATGAGTGCCAAAGCCCCACCCCTTCATCGCCCTATTTCCTTTTCCCCCATCCCTCCATCCAGCATCCTCCGTAACTCGTGACATTTGCCCAGCATTAGTACACCCTATTAGTTCAGTCCAGCCATATCCATGTAATATATCAGATTTTCGTTAGCGCCCGCCCGGCTCAATATGGATAATCTCCCCTCTTCGGTGCGGAGCGAAGCGGTCGCTCGCGCATCGCCGGCTGGCGGGGGTAAGTACGTGTGATGTGATTTTCAAGAATGGGCGGGAAAGATCTTGTTCGGATGTCATTTGCCTAAATGGATATGCAGGGTTTGGAGGATGTGGTGATCGGTAGGTGAGGGTGGGAAGGCGGGTTCTTACTCATCTGTGTTTCTTGAGGTAAGGGCGTATCTGGGAGGTGCACTGTGGGGTTTATGATGAGCGTTTGGGGACGAAGGGGATCTGGGTGTGGCGGTATGGCGTGCGCTCGTGATAGGATGGCTTTTGAATATTGGCTAGATCGGGTGCTGTGAGTGGTCTCTTGACTTCTTTAAGGACGTTTAATGCCTTGGACTTTTCGGTTTCCACCAACCATTCTAGCTGCTTCATTGCACCACCAGCCATGTCTCATGATTTCTTCCTGTTGAGTTCACGCCACAATGTGGGGTTCTTGAGCGAGTGTAGAGTGGCTTGTCATTGAAGGCGTAAATGTTTTGCCGTACAGCGTTGCAATGAACGCCCCTGAACCTTTCTATGCAAAGCCTTCGTCTTGCTAGCATACAGGTTGACTCCTTCTGGACCCAAGAAGAGGTAAGGAGAAGAAAGACGGTACAGTCGTAGTAGCATCACCGGCAATTCCGGCACTGAAGACGTTATGAAGAGATTGTCGCGCCGCTCGTGGCGCAACATGCAATCCATTTTGATGCGAATATTTTATTGATAGGGTATCCATGCATGACAAACAACCACCATCTGACAAGGCTTGCCAACCAGCATCCAAAGATGAGCGGACACAAGAGAAATGAGAAAAGAACGTGACGATCGTGAAAGAGGGCTGCCAAAAGCGAAGGGTGACGCACGGCATCGGCGTCACCGATGCTATATCGATATTAAAGCTAGTATGCCAGCGGCGAAGAAAGCCATAGTAGGGGAGCCAGACATGAGGCTCTGGGCGGCGGAAGCCTCGCCAGCCAGCACTTTGTCGTCATTACGGATGCAGTTTGTCTTGGCTGTAATTTCCGCGGGACAGACTACGCGTTTGAAGTTCGCACTGTGTGACGTTAGTCCATATAATTTGTGTAGCCTGCGGATCGAGATGAGGGCATGTTTACCTAGGGTACGATGCATCCTTGAACCAATCAAAGCGCCATTCGCAACCAGCTCTCAGGTTCTCGGGTAGCTTTTGGCAGTCTTCGGTGGAGCTGACACCCATCATGAGCTCACCGAAGACGCTTTGGTCCACGCCATACTGCTGGGCGCATGCATTTGTCGATGTTGTGTTACCGCCAGGAATCTAGATAGTTCAGCTTTGCGACCATGATAATGGATGTTCATTGAAGGCTTACTGCAAGTGAAAACCGGTTTCGGTCGGTTACATCGTAGGCGGTATTCGAGGCTTGAACAATCATGCTCTTGCCGATCAGAGGCTCACTCGTAAAGTCGAGCTGGTAGCATGCGCAGCACCAGGCGCCCTCTATACCTCCGTGAGTAAGTTCGGGTAGAATAAAGGCACCGGCATAGCCATATGAAACAGTGTCGTTGATGGCCCATGGCTGCTGGCTGGAGCACTGAAACGCGGAACCGCCGTTACAACCAGTGCCGGCAGCATCGTCCGTGGGCTTGTCGTCGGCCGTACACGATTCTACCGGACTCGAGAAATCTGCTTTGCCGTTCCAACCACATGATGGCTTACAGCAGTCCCAGAAACGAGATGTGACGGCCTCTCCAGTATAGTTGAGATGTGCGCATCGTGCAAAGACCGCGAAGAGCTCGACGGCAAGGGCGATATTGCGGAGATGTTGCGGCATCATTGCGGAATGAGTGATCTGAAGTCGAAGTAGAAACCGAATGGCATGGTTTGTTAGCCAGAGTGATCCGCGCGCAGTGCCAGGAAATTGTATTTGAAGGATACTGAAAAAGAGGGGTCCCTTCTTTAGTCCGGCTGCAAGGAGAGATTAAACTGTTTTCGATACTCGAGGCCGAGAACCATCATGCTGTGCACCGTGCAGGGGTGGGCGGAGCTTGGGTACTGAAACGGTACCCGGGGTAGTGGCATCTGAGAGGTCAGAGAGCCGCTGTCACAGTTCCCACACGCTGTCAACCTACCCGATGCCTTGACTTGCATTGTCTGGCCTTATAGATTGCCCCTGTCATTGCCTCGTGGTGCATTTTCCCCACACTCTGCACGCAACGTTGTATCGCTCCCCGCAATTCGGCAATCGCGACATCTGCTCGCAAGGTCGCGTAAATGAATGCCGGGAAGGACGCGACAAAACCGAGGAACTTGTACAGCTGGGTTGCCCGTTGTTGTGCTTTATGCTCGCTCTCGTGTTAGACGAGAAGGTTTGCCCAATGTCTCACGCTCCGCCCTGCCCCCCTTCAGGGCTCATCTCGGCTATTCTCGCGACCGTTCAAAACGAACTTCTCCGCTTCTTGAGCTGCAACCGTTCACACCGCACTGCCGTGTGACGCAACCTTGAAGGCTGATAATACTCCGGGCGCTCGGTTCACGTGGCCTCAAAGAGGTTGAGCACCGTAGCTGAATAGGGAAGCAGATGCACCCGATTGGCCGCAACTTCAATATCGCTACCAGACTAGAGGCCATACTGAAGCACGCAGTAACCGTTTTGCTAGGATGCTTTGAACTTTGTGTAAACAGGTTGCTAGCATCGCTCCGGCTGAATCGACGTCGTCAGCATAGTCACTGGTCATGCGTAATAGCGCGTTTGTCATATAGCAGTCGCCATCGCCAACATCGCTAGACGGTGTTCGCAGTTTCGCGATTAGGAAAGGACCGAAGTACGTGGCATAAGTATGGACCGGATGTTTGGTTGAGAGGGCAAGGCATGAACGTCTTCCATGTCTACTATCTGCCAAGCCACCGATACACGAACTCTGCCCCACCCGGCGTTCGCTCAAGTCTCCAAAGTCCACTCTGCTGAGACAGCAAACGCTCTGGAACTTGGATACGAGTTGCCGCCTGGGCAGCTCTTACACCCCTGGGCTGGATTCCCGGCGATTGCCGTCGAGATGTGCGCGGTGGATTTTGAAATCATTATGTTAATTCACCGCTACTAATACATCGTTAACAAGCGTACATGCTCGTAATACCTCCGTAGTTATGCAAATTGTGCATATGCTCCTCAACGCCGTCAAAATATGCTCGTCACGCGTAGAGTCTCGTGTCTGTTCTCCGTCTCTCATACTCTAGTCGAGCGCCGGGATGCGCTCAATCACTTCTCAGCATGCTCTCCACCAAATCACCCAACGGTCCCCAGAAGTCCTTGCTCCCACTTGCCAGCCCATGCTCGTCTATGAACAGCACATAGTGCTTGAAGCTGGTGTTGAGATGAGGCTCCAGGCCCAACTCGATGATGACGGGGTAGTGGTGGCAGTAGATATGTGCGTAGACGCGGTATAGACGCTTGAACATATTCCTGATGAGCGCTGGAAATGTCTTGGGGAAGGGAACGCCGATGCGCGAGGGAAACATGGACTCGTTGTCGA